AGTCCTAGTGTTTAATAGATCAGTAGAGTGACTATAATTTACAATTATCTATCATATATTTCAAAAAAGCTAGAATAGAATAATCGGAATGTTTCTAGTGTAAAGAAAAGACAAATATTTAAAGTGATGAATATCCTACTTATAGTCATTTGATCTTTTCAAACTATATGATTGTATTAAATTAACACATGTACCTCTAAAATGTGTACCTCTATTATGTATGAATACAAAAATAAAATTGATTTAAAAAGTTTAAAGGGAGTTATTCAAGTTGAAATGAAGGATGCTAGATAGTAACTGAAAGCTATATAAAAATATAAATTTCTTTGGTAAAAAAAATTGCATGGACACATTTATTTTAAAAAGTATTATTATAATTTGATTTGCAAATCCACTTTATTTTCTACAGGAGTTAAAAAAAATGTATGAAATTAATTACAAATCTAAGCTAATGGGTACATAGTATATAAAGGTGCAATTTGTGACATCATAAGTCATGCAGAAGGTGAAGCTGTAAAGTGAATTTATATAAGCAATTGATATTAAGTTGGCATCAATTTAAGGCAGATTATTATAATTTTATGATATATGTAATCCCCATGGTAACAGCACAGAAAATATCTATAGAACATACACAGAAGAAAATGAGAAGGCATTCTAAACATGTCACAAAAAAAATCAACCAAATAAAGGCACTAATGGAGGTACAAAGGACACAAAAACTCTGTAAGGCATATAGAAAACAAATAATAAAATGGCAAAAGTAAGTCTTTTCATACCAATAATTACTTTAAATGTAAATGTATTAAACCCTACAATGATAAAACAGACTGGCAGAATGGATTAAAAAACAACAAACAAAACTACTCAGAATCCAAGTATATGCTATCTGCAGAGATTCACTTTAGCTCTAAGGATATGCATAGGTTGAAAGTGAAGGGACAGACAAAGATATTCCATGCAAATATTAATAGTAACCGAGAGAGCAGGGGAGGTTAAGCAACTATAACACAAAAAAAGACTTTAAGTCAAAAGTTGTTACAAGAGACAAAGAATGAAGATGCTCAACATCACTTATCATTAGAGAAAAGAACATCTAAACCACAGTGAGATATCACCTCGTATCTGTTAGGACAGCTATTATTTAAAAATCAAAAACAAAACCAATAAACAAACAAAAACAAACTTCACCAAAAATAAATAAATAAATAAAACAAAAAATAAAAAGTGCTGGCAAAGATGTAGTGAAACGGAAACGCTTGTACATTGTTGGTGGGAATGCAAAATGATGTAGCCACTGTGCAAAGTATGGTAGTTCCTCAAAAAATTAAATCCGGGCACAGTGGCTTAATCCTATAATCCCAGCACTTTGAGAGTCCGAGGTGAGAGGACTGCTTGAGTCCAGGAGTTTGAGACCAGCCTGGGCCACAGAGACCCCACAGCCAAGAGGTGAAACCAACCCAAGAGTCCATCAATGAATGAATGAATAAATAAAATGTAAAAAGTAAGGAAACTCTGATATATGCTACAATATGAATGAACCCCCTGAGGACATTATGTTAAGTAAAATAAGAGTCACAAAAAGACAAATACTATATGATTCCACTTACATGAAGTACCTCAAGTAGTCAAATTTGGAGAGACAGAAAGTACAATGACAGCTTCCAGGGGGTGAGGAGAGGGAAGGATGGGGAATTAGTACTGTTTAAATAGTACTGACTGCTAAAGTTAACACTTCTTCCTCTTACTGTGGCCAACAGAGCTTGCTTTGACCATTGCATGGAAAGATTTTAATCTCTATGATACTAAGGCATCTTTGACTCTTTAATGCTGCTAGGGATAATAAATACAATGTCTGTGTCACATACATACTAACACAAAACGGTATTTTTATAATCATATTGCCAATGTACCTACTTTCTTTTTATATAATTTGAGATGTGATATTTCACTCATATCAATAAGTTAAATATTTTGGTATATGGATAGCAAAGATAGTGAAAGACCATTTCCTTGGTGGAATTAATTTAGGAGCAATGTATACCCAGAAGTGATCTAACATACATTTTTCTCCCAAACTAAATGTGTCAGATTTACTTTGTGCACATATTAGTCTCCCTACATAAAATAATCATGCTCCTTCATTCTACCTGTTCAAATTCCACCCATTATTTAGAGCCCAGGTGAAGGCAAATATTTTACAAATCATTTCCTGACTATCCCAGCCCATATTTATCTTCCTAACCTCTAGCCTCTATTTAATCATTTAGTGCTTAGTGATAGAATGCTTTGTATTATTTGCTATCATTTTATATTTTAAAACCAACTAAAATGTATAAAACAGTTGGTAATTATTCCAGCCTGAAAGGACAACCTGAGACAGTGATACAAGGTAAATTCAATAAAACCAAATTGTGAACTTGTTTATTCTCTTTAAAGCCTACCCAACATGAACATGAGTTCAAAAATACTATTGATTTGGATTATCCAACGAGTTCATTCTAAAAACTGGTTTATGGAAGACTGGAGGAATTCCTTCTTTCTCTCTCACCCCCAACACACACACATAATACAACACACACACTAGCACACGCACTCAATCACACATACTTGGACATGAGTAACAAGTGTACAGAAAGAAACTCTCTGGATACTAAAATAATAGAGCACACTACGCATGCTCAAAATTCACACACCCTCAGTCATCTATAACCTAAATTCAGAGTCCGTTTCATTGGTGGTTAGGGCATGCCTCTGGGCATTGAACAGCTGGGTTAATCTGGGAATTATTCTTTTAGATCAGACATGAAATCAAGCAGAGAAAAATGTGAGAGGAGGTGGAGGGTAGTTGTCTTTTTCCTGCAATAAGAAAATGTGTATTCCAACAAACCGAAGAAAATTGAGTTCACTCTTTATAGTTAAAACTACATATTACTTTGAGTTCAAATTCTTTCTATTAATACATAAGATTTATTGAAGTTATATTGTTTGAGTAGGATCAAGAAAGCTGAATATTATTTCAGGTTTTCAAGCCATAAGGACAAATAGTGCCTTTAGGTTTTCCATTCAACTAGGAAAATTATAGCTTCATATTTGCAACACTAAAGCTAATGCAGTGTCAGCACCTCCATCAAACTCCGTTGTTCAGCAGTTTATAATTCAAGCAGAAATGTTCACTCCAAGACCAAACTTGGCCTACACAATCTCAAAGAAAATGGAGAAAAAATTATTTTGGCTAGCGCTGACTTATAAAAGCAAAAGAGAGGGTGCTTTTACAAAGTGCTTTGAAAAACATTTTTGAGAATTTGAGAAAGTAACTGGGGATTACTGAGTTGACATCCGGCATTACTAAAGTTATAGAAAGGACCCAGAATTCCATGACATCACATCAGCATCAGGAGTATCATAAGTACTTTCATGAAATTCTTCATCAGGACTAATTTCCTTATCAAACAGAATTACTGTTAATAGGAAAATAAACAGTTATAGTGGAAAAATAAAGACAAATAGGTAAAAATTTCTCATGAGGGCAACACAAGACTTTAGATCAATTTTCCCTTTAAGTACTAACTCTCTAGTGCACCATATAGACATACATAAAATGAAAACAAAAATTTTCCCTACTTTTTAAAGTAGTTCACAATGGCGGGGTGGAATTTCCAGAAACCACCTTTCTCTTCTCAAATGCTAACTTGTACTTAGAAACAGCTTAATGTAGAAGGGGATTTCCAGCCCCAGGTGACAAGAGCTATTGGGCTCCTCATTCACTGACGCTGGGTGGGGATCCAGTGAGTTCGGGGATCTCATGCATTTTGAAGTCCTGGGGCAGGTGGTTTGAAAATTGCCTGGTGCCTTTGTGGCATCCTGTGGGTAAGCTGGCCGCCAACCCCTCATTGCTCTGATCTCTTACACCTTCAAAATATGTCAAAACTTTAATATAGTGGGATCGGGGCATTACATTAAAAAAATCATCTTTTATATCTATACAAGGCTCCCTTGTACTAAATACAGTGTAATTCTAGGCACTCCGTGTCTGTTTTCACTCAGCATTTATTAAAGCCCTATTATGGGTCAGGCCACAGATGATTTGATACGATTCTCATCCTTTAGAAGGTGTCAGGAGAAAACGAAAAGTCCACAAAAGGAACTCCAGTACAATTGTGGAGTGCCATCTGGACGACTTCACTGAAAAGGGTCTGAAGGTGTCAGAGCGACACCTCCTCTCTTCCCCACCACGCAGCTCTCACCAGCCTTTGTAATCACACTGACTCACCTGGTGGGTGTTCCCTTCCTTCTTCCCTTAAGTTCCGCTCGTTTATCAAGCACTCCCTGTCCCTGGACCCCTGGGTCCTGGAACCATCAGGCCATGGAGAGATACAGATGAGAGGGCGAGCCTGAAGGCGTCATCTAGGAGGGTCTGGCCGGGCCTCTGGCTTTGCCGGGGGCAGGGAGGGCTTAAGGGGCTCAAGGCTCACCTGATTGAACTGTGCAGCTATGAGCGAGGGTTCCCATATCTTAGAACTGGTGTTCACAGTCCCGCCTTTCTCTTTCTTGGGTGCCATGCAAAGGACGGGAGGAGCATTGGCCTCTAAACTGGGCTCAGGCCCTGCCTAAGCGTCCCCGCTACCACAGTAACCGAAGCTACGCCCAGTTCCTGAACTACGTCGGCTCCCCTCCCCCAACCCCGTTCAGACTCCTTGGGTCAACCGCTTCCGTCTCCACAGCAACGGAGTTTCAGAGCGCGCGGCAGCTTGAGGGCGGGGTTCACAGTCCCCTGGTCAAATGTGAGGACTTTTCAGCAGGAAAGCTGCACAAGTGGAGGAGCGCAGGACGAGGCTGGCCTCGGCAGGTCGGGCTAAGTTCTTCTACGGTCTGAGGCGTTGTCTGGAAACTCAAAATCTCTGGAATCCCATCCAGGACTCCTCCAGCAAGATTTCTTCCGATCCTGAGTAACCAATATTGGAACACTGACCCCTTCAGGAGGCAGCCCATGCCGTTTTTTTTTCCCCAACCGCTCTAATCTGCCCCAAATGCTTCCTTATATGAAGCCAAATTTGTCTCTCCTTAACCTCTACCCTCTGCTCTGGTCTTAGTTCAGCCTCCGCCTCTGGGGCCTTAGTAAACAAGTCCAATCACCTTTCCACGAGACCCGTTATCTAATTGTAGGTGGGATTAATATACTTCTCTGCCCAAACAGCTCCAGCCCTTTAAACTGCCTTTTATTGATTGGTAAGTAGACTATTTCTTTCCCCCCCCCCCCTTTTTCCCACCCTGCACTCATCAATATCTAAAATATCCTGGTTGGACAAATTTCCCAAAATAATGATAGTAATAAAAACCATTGTTTCTTGAGCACTGGTTATATGCTATATACAAGATTATTTCATTTAATTCTCACAACCACCTTATCCCAATTCCCACAGTGTTTGATTGATGGTGCCAAGATTAGATCCTAGGATTATCTGAGTCACAGATCTAGTGTGCATAACTGCTACACTGCTGTCTACTACTGTTTTAGGCCTGCCAAAATGAGGGATACCGCCTTCTGGAGCTAGATTTGCTTTTGTTTTTTATTGCAGTCAGACAAATTTGAGGACACCCTGGGGCAGAGCGCAACCAAAGGTGCCTTGCTGTCTCCTTTGTCATATAAAATTCAGAACTGACCAGGGCTTAACTAGCCATTAAGACCCTGCACTTTGCCTAGAGGTAAGATGCTTCAGTTATCCCAATGGCCCAGATGAGTCAGGTGATGCAAGCCGGAAACTTAATTTCACTGGGCACAACCTGATGAATGGGTAACCTTCCACAGGGGGATGTTCTAAACCTTTTAATTGCTAACCCTTTTAATTTCTTTGAGGACTAAATTGAGGGAAGGGGGATAGTGATATCCAGCCACTAGCATCCTTTTTCATTTGGGGGGCAGTTTTAATGATGACACTTCAACTTTTGTTCACAATTTGGACCATGAAAGGAAGTTTATGTTTACACCCTAATTCTTTAATACAGATACAGTCAGCCCTCCCATCATCACAGTTCTTCATCCCTGGATTTAACCAACTTTGGATTCAAAATATTAAAACATAAATAAATATACAAATAAAGAAAAATACAGCATAACAACTATTTTATAGTATTTACATAATATTAGATATTATAAATAATCTAGATATGATTTAAAGTGTAGGAGAGGATGTGCATAGGTTATATGCAAATACCAGGCCATTTTATTGAGAGGTGAAGCCAGCTGGACTTCCTGGGTCCAGTGGGGACTTGGAGAACTTTTCTGTCTTACAAGAGGATTGTAAAATGCACCAGTCAGCACTCTGTAGCTAGGATTGTAAAATGCACCAATCAGCACTCTGTAGCTAGTAAGGGGATTGTAAAATGCACCAATCAGCGCTCTGTAAAAAAGCGCCAATCAGCACTCTGTAGCTAGTAAGAGGATTGTAAAATGCACCAATCAGTGCTCTGTAAAACGCACCAATCAGCCCTCTGTAAAACACACCAATCAGCAGGATCCTAAAAGTAGCCAATCACAGGGAGGCTTGAAAAAAGGGCACTCTGATAGGACAAAAATGGAACATGGGCGAGGACAATAAGGGAATAAAAGCTGTCCACCACCAACCAACAGTAGCAACTGTGCTGGGTCCCATTCAATGCTGTGGAAGCTTTGTTCTTTCCTCTTCACAACAAACCTTGCTACCACTCACTCTTTGGGTCCCTGCCATCATTTTCTTTTTTTTTTTCTTTTTTTGAGATGGAGTCTCACTCTGTCACCCAGGCTAGAATGCAGTGGTGGATCTCGGCTCACTGCAAGCTCTGCCTCCCAGCAGAGGCAGACTGGGTTCAGGCCAGTGTCCTTCTTCAGCCTCTGGAGTAGCTGGGACTACAGGCGCCAGCCACCACACTAGTCTAATTTTTGTATTTTTAGTACAGACGAAATTTCACTATGTTAGCCAGGATGGGCTGGATCTCTTCACCTGGTGATCTGCCTGCTTCAGCTTCCCAAAGTGCTGGGATTACAGGCGTGAGCCACCGTGCCCCGCCAAGGTCCCTGCCATCTTTAAGAGCTGTAACACCGCAAAGGTCCGCAGCTTCATGCCAGCTCCAGACACATTATTAAGGGGCTTGAATATCAGACATTTTTCTATCGGAGAATGTGAGGGGTCCTGGAACCAATTCCCTGTGGATACCAAGGGACCATTAAAGGAAAACAATTTCTAGAAACAGTCTTTCACAGAAACTTTACCGAAAATTACAAGTTTTTATTTCTTGCTGGAATAAATGCAGTTCATCTTCTTGGGAGGGAATAGATAGATCCTATGGCAGCCTAACCATAAGCTAGATAATTTATATCTGGAAGCCCTCTTTTGTCATGAGAATAAAATAACTGATGCATGGTGATGCCAGAGAGAGATCTGCCAGAAAAGGATTTTCCTGAGAGTCTCTATAACAACACCTAGGCTGCTATTGATTACTTTTCATAGCGTTTTCTCCAAAATTTTGTTCTTCACCAAAATTGTTTTAGCATTTGTAAGATGAAAATTTTCTTTGTATTATGGCTAGAAAATAAAGTTGAGTCTCTTCCAGACCAAAAAAAAAAAAAAAAAAAAATCTACCGAATCATTAATTAGATCATTCTAAATTTTGATCAAGTTCTTCTCCTAGTTTTAAACTGGGGGAAATAAAGTTCTGCCTTTTTATTAAAAGGTAGTAAAAAGTTTGTTGGTATTCCAGGATATTTTACAAAAAATTTAACTAGCTGTTTGTGCATGTCACGCTACATTACTAATATTCTTTCTTCTTGAATGTGAATGCACACTTCAAAATAAACCATTACGTGCAATCAGTTTTGACAAATCACTAGCAGATGATTAATAAAATAGGTTGCAGATAAGAAAGGGAAAAAATGGAATAAGAAGAAAAAAAACTAAAATTAAGTGTTATTTAAAAATTGCAGAGATAGTGTCACTCGCCATTTTTTTTACAAGTGATAGCTGTCCAACCACAATATTGGCAGCAATAAGATGTTTGCAATATTTATTGTGACAAAAACTATCCAGTTGTTCATCAAACATTTTCTTTTCTCCTAATATGGGAGTCAGATATTTTTTTGGCCTTTCTTATTCTTAGATATGAACATGTGACTCAGTTCTAGCCAAGCCTGGCCTTGAAAAAATGTCTCCCAGCATTGTTCATACCCTTTTTTCTTGATATTGGGGTGGCTTTGAAAACCTTGAATCTCTGAATGATTGCTGCGACACAGAGGTCTCCCCTTCCCCTGAGGATCATCCTGCTTCTCCCACCAAAAGCATTTACTTGGGACTATTATGTAGGTGAGAATTAAACGTTTTTCTTGAAGCAGCTGAAGTACTGGGGTTTGCTATATCAGCCAGGGTTACCGTAACGACCCTAACATTTTTTATCATTTTCATCGGAGAGTCACCTGTTAATAAATCTAATACCAGCCAGCCTTTCTGAAACTGCCTGAGAGAACAACTTTGAAGGAGGCAATACACAATGCTGGCCACTGTGAGAGGCAGGAAGATCTAACCCCTGCCTCCCCACTACCCCTGCATCAAGTGAGATCTCAATCTCACCCTTTACCTTGTTTTCCATCTGCATATACAGTACATTCTTTCACTCCTTTATCTAGTAAATAAATGTCTTACTTTAAACAAACGGTTTGCATATTTAAGTAATACAACGTACTAGTCTTATGTTACCTATACTTAGGAAAAATTGTTCCTATTTTTCAGAAGATAAACCAACTAGATCCATCGCCTAACTATCCATATACATAATTTATAATTTTGAAAATGATTTAAAGGGATTGAACATTTTAAAAGCTAAAAATAAATATTCAGAATGGAAGAGTGTATTTCTAATATAATCTTTTATAGTTTCCTTGGTAAAGTCCTACCAGAATACAATTAAATATAGAAAGTTTTCCAAAATGGATTTAAGGAGTTTAAAATAAAGGTTTTATTACAGAATGCTTTTTGCCCAGTTTTGGCCTTTTCCATTATTCTAGGGAAAGTGGTACTCTAGATAATTTATGATACAAAATGGGAAGATATTATACGGTAACTAAATTTATAAGGGGTTTCATCATAGAATTGGTCTGTTTAATTTCAGAAAATAGGTGTGAATGACAATGTTCATAGTTTTAAGTAGCAAAAGTCATCCAGCCAAAAAAGGACCCTGCCAAGAACAGAAAAAAAGCGTTACCATCTGTCATACATTTATGCTTTTTTGGTATAATAAATTGTTTCCCCCACTAAATATAAGTTGAAACTTTATAAGCATATACTTTACTACATAAATTTTCCCATATGTCAGTGACTAAAGCAAAACTATACTATTTGGAGAATTTTCTTTCACATTGGCAGGGTTACTCCTGGTTTGTTTGATTTAGTTTTTCCAGTATGAGTTTGCTTTTGATATGTTTAGTTTACCAAAGACTGTCCACTTTTAGAGATGCACGATGTCTTTAGGCTATGATTACTGAATAGGTTATTTCTTCAAGTATTATGGTTTGATCTTATAATTCACTCTTACTCAGGTGTGAAGTCAGTCATATTACTTTTCATACTTGAAAGGTTTAGCCAACTATTGATGCATCCAGTATTTCCATTGTTGTCAGGTAACATCGGGAACTATGGACCAATTCACTTCTAGGCCAGGATGCCAGGTATTTGAAATCCATTTAGCTGCAGCAACCAACTTGCCTTGGGTGAAGAAGGTCTCACAGATGTCTACTGATTTCTCTGGTTGGTATCTTACATCCAAGAACACCTCTCAGTATACATATGTCTTGTTCACATCATGATCTTTGCATTTCTGACCTTCAAAATAGAGTGCTATAATGCCCTGTCTTTGAGTTTTTATTGTATGTGATACAGAGGGCTAGGTGTCTTTCAGCTACAGGGTCCAAAGCATATGGAGAATATTATACCTGCATTCTATGGTCAGCATTAGCTTCCTATTTATTTTTGAGTGCTATTTAAAGTGTTGACTTTAATCTTTAAAGCCCCTCATTGTTTAGAAGCCAGTTACTCCAGATATCACATCTCTCCCTATGCATCACTGTGGCAATTAAAATCAGCTGCAGTGCTTGCAGTTTGTAATCCCATGTGAATTCTGGGGAGCCTGGGAGTAGACCCCTTTCCAGAGAAGAACTTCCCTAAGAACCCTCAGTTTCTGTCAATGATAAAAGCAGTATTTGGAGTTTATAGTTTTGGCCTTGAATGTCTTGTCATATATCTGTAAGTGTCTGGAACCATAATTAAGTGCTGTTGATTTAATTTTTATGTTATTTGTAGTGAGAGAGTTTAGAATACTGAATCTACATTTAATGAATCAGAAAAATAACCGCTGTACGTAGTAAAAATAGACAAAGCTAAAATTCATCTGTTTCATATTTATTAGTGTGGGAGTTTTCACTCTAGTGTTCTCTCAAGTCCTTCTTTGAATCTAATTTTAATATCTTCAGTGAAGGGATTTGCCCTGAATCCTTAGGGAACCATTTCAAAATCCATAACTCATGTAATTCATTTCTCTAAATGCTTACCTAAATGTTTGATTTCTTAATGTTTTATCAGATGTCTGTTACTTATAAATGTGTTCTATGTTAAATAATAACTTTCTTTTTGTTGTATACAAGGTAAAAGCTATAGTTGAGGTAAACCTACTCCAGTCTAACAGATGACACCAAGTAATATGCCAGATCATGGAGCAATCTTTTGGAGAGAACAGATGATTGGTACTTGGGCTTTGAGGACCTGGTAGCACTGTATATGAGGCTTAGGTGAAGAGTGGTGTCCACCACTTTTCTTACCCATCCTTCTTCAACTTCTCATTCATTTTTCCAGCCTAACCCTCAGCCTTCTTCAAAAAAAAAAAATGCAGGATACCACTAGGAAGATTTCCAAATGACTTCCTAGGAAGTTTGTGTCTGACTATGATCTTGTAAATGTTAAATGCAACTGTGTTACCTTTTTCTATCTTACCATGTATGCCAATCCATAGTTCCATGAATTAATTTTGCTTTGCTAGATTCCAATTTTTGTATAATATCCTGTTATGGAGGGAACCCCAACCAAAGGCTGTAGGATACCATAGTGCCCCACTTATTGAGAAGGGGTTATCATTCAGTAGGACCCAATTTTCAAGCTCATAGATCATTTGCTTACCTAATAGCTATAAAATGTTCTTTCTTAGTATTTTATACTATGTTCGTCTCATGGTAAGACAATGTTTATCTGATTAAATAAAATTGTATTTCTCAGTTGACTGGTGTTGCCATTTGGAGGGATGGGAATACTAGAAAAAGAAGGTTCTGGAGGGGTTGAGTGGCAGGTGAGGAAATTATGATTTTGGTTTTAGACACGTTCAGTGTGTGTACCGTTGAGACATCCAGATGTCTCAGGCAATTGGATATGTGGGCCTGGTGCTCACAGCAGGGATAGACAGGGGTGAATCATCAGCATATGAGGTTGAGTTTGCCCGGAGAGACCACCAAGTGAGCAGGGGAGCAGAACCTAGATCTGAACCTTTAGGAGACTGTGGTTGTGAGGAAGAAAATAGATATGCGACCAAACAGGTGTGGCACTGAAGCCAAAGGATGGGATGAGAGCATTTCTAAAATGAGGGAGTGTCCAGCAGTGTTAAATGCTACTGAGAGGTCAAGTGAGAAAGACTGAAAAATGCTTGCTGGATTTAGGGAAAAAAAGGTCAGCAGTAGTTAGCTACTGTACTTTAGTTACATTCACTGGAATGCATTTCCTATGCAGGTAATTTTTCCTACTGTTCTTGGGTCAAACTGATCTTTAAGAGTGAATTTTTTAAAAAATTACATTTCCAATAGTTTGATAAGTAGTGGATTTATGGGCTGAAAGAATTAATATTGTTAAAACATCCGTACTACCCAAAGCAACCTAAATATTCGGTGCAATCCCTATCAAAATACCAGTGGCATTCTTCATAGAAATAGAAAAAAAATTCCTAAAATTTATATGAAACCACAAAAGACTCTGAATTGCTGTAAAGCAACCCCAAGCAAAAAAGAACAGAGACAGAGGTATTAATATTACATTACCTGACTTCAAACTAAACTACAAAGTTATAGTAATTAAAACAACATGGTACTGGCATAGAAACACACAGACCAATGAAACAGAATAGAGAACCCAGATATAAATTCATGCATTTACAGTTAACTTATTTTCAACAAAGGCTGCAAAAACATACCCTGGAGAAAGGACAGTCTCTTCAATAAATGGTGCTGGGAAAACTGGACAACCACTAGAATAAAACAGTGGAGAAATGCTTTGGAACATTGGCCTAGGCAAAGATTTCTTTAGTAGGACCTCAAAAGCACAGGCAACAGAAGCAAAAATGGATAAACGGGATCTTATCAAGTTAAAAAGCTTCTGCACAGCAAATGAAACAGTCAATAGTGAAGAGACAACCCACAGAATGACAGAAAATATATGCAAACTATTTAAATGACAAGAGATTGATAGCTAGACTATATAAGGAACACAAACTACTCAATAGCCAAAAAAAAATTAAAAATTAAAAACACCAAATAATTGGATTAAAACATGAGCAAAAGATCCGAATAGACATTTCTCAAAAGAAGGCATACAAATGATCAACAGGTATATGAAAAATTGTTCCACATCACTAACCATCAGAGAAATGCAAATCAAAGCCACAATGAAACATCATCTCACCCCAGTTAAAATGGCTTTATCAAAATGACAAAAAATAGCAGATGCCAGTGAGGACCTAAAGAAAGATGAACTCTCGTACGTTGTTGGTGAGAATGTAAATTAGTACAGACATTATGGAGATCGGTATGGAGGTTCCTCAAAAATCTAAAAATAGAACTATTGTATGATCTAGCAATCCCACTGCTGGGTATATATCCAAAAGAAAGGAAATCAGTATATTAAAGAGATGTCTTCACGCCCATGTTTATTGCAGCACTATTCACAATAGTCAGCATATGGAATCAACATGTGTCCATCAATGGATGGGTGGATAAAGAAAATGGGGTACATTTACACAATTAAATATTAATTGGCTATAAAAAAGAATTAACTCTTGTTGTTTGCAACAACATGGATGGAACTGGAGGACATTATATTAAGCAAAATAAGCTAGGCACAGAAAGATAAATATTATATATTCTCACTTATATGTGGGAGCTAAAAGATTGATCTCATGGAGATAAAGAGTAGAATTATGGTTACCAGATACTGATTAAGGTAATAGAGATGGGTGGGGAATAAAGAGGCGATGGTCAGTGGGTACAAAAATGCAGTTAGATGGAATGAAATCTAGTGTTTGGTAGCACAATAGGGCAATTATAGTTAATTTATTTTATATTTCAAAAGTACTAGAAGATTGGAATTGGAATGTTTGCAACACAAATAAATGACAAGTATTTGAGGTAATAGATATCCCAATTACCCTGATTTGATCATTACACATTATATGCTTGTGTCAAAATATCATATTCTCTAGAAATATGTACAACTATTATATATCCCTAAAATGTAAAAATAATAATTTTGTTTAAATTGTTTAAGCTGGCAAAATCATATCTATTGCAATACACAGTTTTTATTATATACATTTTAATATTTGTAATATTTTTTCTTTTTTTTGAGATGGAGTCTGGCACTGTTGCCCAGGTGGGAGTGGCACGATCTCGGCTCACTGTAAGCTCCGTCTCCCGGGTTCATGCCATTCTTCTGCTTCAGCCTCCCAAATAACTGGGATTACAGGCGACTGTCACCACGCCTGGCTAATTTTTTGTATTTTTAGTAGAGATGGGGTTTCACCGTGTTAGCCAGGATGGTCTCAGTCTCCTGACCTTGTGATCCACCCACCTCAGCCTCCCAAGGTGCCGGGATTACAGGCGTGAGCCACCGCGCCTGGCCTGCGATTTTTTTTTTTTTGAGGTGGAGTCTTGCTGTGTTGTCCAGGCTGGAGTGCAGTGGTGCAATCTCGGCTCACTGCAAGCTCCGCCTCCCGGGTTCACGCCATTCTCCTGCCTCAGCCTCTGGAGTGACTGGGACTACAGGCACTCACCACGACGCCCGGCTAATTTTTTGTATTTTTAGTAGAGACGGGGTTTCACCGTGTTAGCCAGGGTGGTCTAGATCTCCTAACCTCGTGATGCGCCCGTCTCGGCCTCCCAAAGTGCTGGGATTACAGGCGTGAGCCACCGCGCCCATCCAGGCCTTCAATTTTTTAAAGGTATCAGTGAGCACTGGCCTCTATGCACAATATAAAGAAATTTTCACAACACTGGTATCTTTTAAGTTTTAAAATGTAATAGGAAGGAAATCATCCTATTAAAATCTACTTTAAGCGTGTTTTGTGAATGTGTCAGTCTGAAAAGGGAGGAAGGATAATGTCATACTGAGGAAAAGGCCCTATATTGCATTTCTGTCTGCTTTCAAATACACATTCTCAGAAAACTTCCAACAAAGGTTTTACCATTTGATTGACAAAAATGAGTATAAGTAAAGAATATGAGAAAAAAAGAAAGCACTTGAAGTCAGACACTAGGAAGCAAAGGAAAACGATAAGAAAAGACTCATTCAAAAACAAAATTTCAGCCAGTGCACAAATCTATCAGCAGAACAAATAATGCTTCTAAAGGTGGTGGTGTAGGCTGGTCTCTCTGTCTCCTTCCACTTCTGAATGAATCTATTCAGGTCTTCTGCCATTTCCTTTATGGGAGCCAACTGTTTCTAACTCTGCCCACCCAAATAACAGCTTTATTGGCTCTTTCTTATATTTCAACTCTGTACTGTACTAAGCAAAACAAAACTTTATTCTTTGTGTGTTATGCTTTGATTTTGGTGCTTTACTTTTTGTTTTGTAAATAGCAGTGGCTTCTTTATGCTCCCATGGTTCTTTCTTTTCTTTTCTTTCTTTCTTTTTTTTTTTTTTTTTTAAAGCTGGTTATAATCTTTAGGCTTCCATTTTTGTTCAAAATCAAATTACACAATTTGCCAATCATCCACATTTTAAAACTTTTACGATTATTTTTGCATAACTGTATGCACTTCACCTGAGCCAGCTGTCTTAATCCTTTAGAGTGTGGCCATTTTCCGCTACTATACTTTTGGGTAATAACCGTTGCCAATTTTATCCCACTAAGTAAATTCCTCATTTTATTGAAATTGTTTTTATAAAGCTTAAGTTACTCACATTTATACGCATAATCTCTTCTCCCTCCCCGTTCAGTCTGGTCGTCGTTTGAAACCCTATTAAGCTATTTGTTATCACAGTTTCTAAAACTCCTCCTGATATTAGCTGTTCAACTTGTCATATAGTCGTTCTTCAACACAGAAGGCTAATTAAAAATGGGAGAATCCAATCATAGACCTGAGAGGCACTTTCAGAGGGCATCTTGTGCCCTTGAGAAAAATCAACATTCTTTCTCCTGGGTTCAATTCCCTGCCCCACTCCTTGCTGGCTGTTTGATGACCTTGAGCAAATTATTCAATCCCTCTTTGCTTCACTTTTTTGTTTTGTTTTTAAAAATGAAATGAGAATAATTATGTTTGTGTTATAGGACTGTCATGAAGGTGAAAGTAGTAGCTATCAGTGATTAGAACAGTTCACAGCACATACTAGCCCTTGATAAATGTTAGCTAATATTTTAAAAATAAATGTTTGATTTTAGAATAGTTGTAGATTTACAGTAAAGTTTCAAAGATAGTGCAGAGGGTTTGTATGTATCCGCATCCAGTTTCCCCTATTGGTAACATCTTAAATTAGTATGGTATATTTGTTGCAACAAATGAACTAATATTGATATGCTAACTAATAGTTTTAACCCAATGTCCTTTTTCTGTTCCAGGATCCCACCCAGAATGCCACATGACGTTCAGAAGTCTTGTCTCCTTAGGCTCCTCCAGACTGACAATTTCTCAAACTTTGTTTTTGATGACCTTGACGATTTTGAGGTGGTATGATAATTTGTGAAGTGTTTCTCATGCTTAGCCTGGAGTTACAAGATAGGAGAAAAAGACCAAAGATGTGAAGTGCCATTCTCATAACATCATGTCAAGGGTAATGCTATTTATATGAATTATCATCGATGATGTTAACCTTGATGTCCTGGCTGAGGTCGTTTATTAGGTTTTTTCTCTACCAAGTTACTCCCCGCCCCGTACCTTTCCTGACTGTGTTTTTGGGAAGGAAGTCACTATGTGCAGCTCACACGTAAGGTATGGGAAGTTACACTCCAACATCCTTTGGCAGGGTAGTATCTATTCATACATAAATAACTTGAAATTTTTCTGTATGGGAAATTTTCTACCTCATTAATTTATTTATTTAGTCATTTGCTTGCCTCAGTAATGACTCATGAATGTTTATGCTTTGGGTTGTATTCCAAATGTAGTATAATATTTATTTATTTTATTGTTCAGTCAGTTGCCCTAGCTTTGATATTTGAGAGGTCTTTTAATTGGCTCTGTGTCTCCTCAATATACCCCCTTATTAGATTTTTCTTCATTATTTTCTGGCACTACAGATGCTTCAGGCTCATTCATCTTGCATATTACCTGACCCTGCCCTTGAAGCAGCCAATTTTCCAAGGAGCCCTGATTCCCTTCCCTGGAGAATGGTTGAACATGCTCTTTGCTACTGGAGTATCTTTTGTTTCTAGGCCCTCTCAGTGGACAGATTTAAGAAATAACCCACGTATACGCACATATATATATATACACACAAAATTACTTCTTTATCTATTTGTGTCTACATTAAGGTAAATATGAGTTCACACTAATATTTCCCACTCTAATCCAGTACCACATGGTTTCTTCTAGCCTGCTAATATTTTATTAGCTATTCATTCATTCACTTATTGATTCATTCAGCAAATTTTGTTGAGTGTCTGTTATATGCCAGGCCCTGTGCTCAGCACTAAGGATTAGAGAGCCTGGTGGATACTATCCCTACTCTCATGTAGCTTAGAATCCATTTACACGTTACATTTTTACTTTAGTTCTTTGGTACTACCAAGGAATGACGTCGATCACAATAGCCTATTTCCATATCCCTCTGCGTTTTCCCACCATAGTCCATTCTCCCATTTCCAAGACTGTGCTACCTTCTATTGATCATCTGTTTTCCTCTCTACCCTCATTTCTCCTCTGTCAGCTCTTTGCCCTGTGGGATTTTCACCTTTCATTAAAACACTGCAGCAGAAGAGTGGCTTAGATGCTAAATAAGAGTATTACACCCCCTATTTGTGTTGCACATTTGAAAGCTCTTTCACATCTCATTTGTGAGTATACAATTATGTAAAGAATGATAGGGTATTACCAAGGTGCTTTGTTTGGGGTGGCATCTTATGATTGCCGCTCACATATAAATTCGTATGGGATTTGTCATCACCTACTGCTATCTGGAATTGGAGGCCCTGTGTTAGTTTCTTAGGAAGACAATCTCTACTGATGCAAAACTGTACGGTACCTCTGATTTTAATGCTTTTCTTTTCTGTTTACTGAAAATATTTTCATGCTTTTCATGCTTTAATGATTTTAATGCTTTTCTTTGCTGTTCATTGAAAATCCATCATTATATCTCCTTCACTCTGAAGATCGTTATATTTACCTGCCTTCTTTTTTCTTGAGTAAACGTTCTAGAAATTTATCAATTTTAGTAGTCTTTCTAATAACAACTTTGGGCTTGTTTGATCCTCTCTATTGTGTGTTTGTTTTCTGTTTCATTATGTTTTGCCCTTTTTTATTTCCTTACTTTTATTTTCTATATTCTGTTCTCAAATTTATAAAGTTGAATGCTTAGCACATTGATTTTAGCCTTTTTAAATTTGGTAATATAATAATTTAAGCCCTCATATTTCCCTCTAATTGCTACTTTGGCTTCACATTACAAGCATTAATATACAGAGCATGTATTATTGTTTAGTGCTTTACAATTTCTAATTTTCACTGTAATTTATTTTTTGACCCATGAATTATTAGCATGTTGATTTTGTTTTCAAATGTGTGTGTTTCCCCAAGTTATATATTTAATTTTGATTTCTATTTAATTGTATTATGATTAGTTTTTTAAAATGATGTTCTTTGAATTCTTTATCTAGGTCTAATCTGCTGTTTAACATTTCATTGTATTTTAATTATTTGTTTTAAAAATTTCAGCTCTTGTACATCTATATGATTCACTTCTTTCAAGTCTACCTGGTACTTTGTTTAGAGAGTATCTTACTCCTTGATCCACTTAATGCTCTCTTTTATTTCTTTTGACATTTTAAGCATACTTACTCTATATTCTTAATTGATAATTCTACCGTTAGAAGCATTAGGTGTGTTTGAATATATCTTTGTTGTTTCTACTGTTATTCAAGGACTGATGTCTCCTTGTGCATTTTATTATTATTTTCTATAAGTTAATATTAATGAAATATTTGAGGCCTGGATTAAAGGTGTCTTTCTCTCATAAATATGTGTATGCTAATTTTTGATCTGAAGTTTTATGGACCACTTACTACAAACCTGTGTGAAGGTGGGCTTGAAATCTCGGGAAACATTTATTTTTCACTCTGCTCCGGAGCTGGGACAAGCACATTTCTTTGCTGTCATTGTCTGCGGGGTGGGATTTATGTATGTGTGTATCTCAGTTTTCCATTTTACTAAGGGTATACTCCTTTAGGTCGCAGCTCTGTGTGGGAGCCTGCTATAGATCACCTATGTGTAGAGGCTATGGCCATTGTCTCTAGTCCCTCTACTTTCCTCAGGGTTGTCAGAATGGAAGCTCATGGTTATTTTGATGCTTCCTTACCTTTCTGTTTTCCTGCTTTCACTTTGTCTTTTGGCCTTTGATGAATTCCCTTCCGTACTTATCAGCTCAATTATATATTTTTTAAAATTATTTTATTCAGAATCATAACATATTTTGTAATAAGAACGTTGTTCATTGTATTGAGTGTATCATGCTGTCAGAAACATAAATTTTATAATCTTTCTTCAAATTATCTATCCTTGACAAGGCAGCTTTAAAAATGAAACAATAAAACTATGAAACAGAATGTAACTGCTTTCCTTTTAAATTAATTATCCCCACATTAAAGAATTTCTATGACCAACTGGTGAAAGTCTGATAATTTTGCTTCAATATTTGCAGCCTTACGTGTATTTATAACACCCAAGAATATATGTGTGTGTATATATATATATATATATATTTTTTTTTTTTTTTTCTTTTTTTTGAGACGGAGTCTTGCTCTGTCGCCCAGGCTGGAGTGCAGTGGCGCGATCTCAGCTCGCTGCAAGCTCCGCCTCCCGGGTTTACGCCATTCTCCTGCCTCAGCCTCCCGAGTAGCTGGGACTACAGGCGCCCACAACCGCGCCCGGCTAATTTTTTTGTATTTTTAGTAGAGACGGGGTTTCACCGTGGTCTCGATCTCCTGACCTTGTGATCCGCCCGCCTCGGCCTCCCAAAGTGCTGGGATTACAGGCGTGAGCCACCGCGCCGGGCGTGAATATATGTATATTTTAATGTGTATCTGTTTGCATGAATTTATTTTTCCTTAAATTGATTTTTATTCTTTGCTTCTCTAACATAAAAATGAAGGAATTCTGTCCAATGATAGAAATACTTGGATATAAGGGAGGGAACCTATATAAGGTGGTAAAATATCTACAAAATTCAACCATAGGAATATTCCTAGGAAGAGCCCAAGGTCCTTAACCCTAATCCCCTCCCTCTCAAAACTTAGACAACTCATATAAGCTGAAATACAACAGAAGGATCTTCTGAGACTGAGATTGAATAAATCTCAGCGTGGCATAAATGCCATTGCAATCAAAGACATTATCTACCACATGAGAGAGGGATACTGAACACATATGTGGGGCAGAGGAAATCCTTTAGTCAAAGGTCACACATTACTAAGCAACAAACTGTACAAAGTCACTTAGTGTGGGAAAAATATAGATATAAAAATGCAGATTTGAGTGGAACTACACCCTGGATTTATTCTTTTTTTTTTTTTTTTTTTTTTTTTTTTTTGGTGTATTGGGCTCTACATTGCCTTTGAGAAACAAACAATGCAGTAAGAAATATGAAGGAGGGTAGTTAGAAGGAGATGGAATGGGTTGCTGGTGGTATAATGACTCTGTGTTGCATTTCTTGAGCATTTTGAAGTAGGAGAGAGCAGAAAAGAAAAGTACGAAAAGCAAGAGGAGGAAGGTACTAGGGCTTAGATTTTCAAAACAGAAAGACTAGTTGTAGCAACCAAGTGGAGGAATATCTGGGAGCTTTTTGGATTTTCTTTGGTTGGCTAAGGGGAAACTAATTTTGTCTTGATTCAGATTCCCTTTATAATTGCCTTTTGCTTCTGCATTTATATCCAGGCATAGTATGGAATAATCGAAGATCTCTATTCAACCTCTGTCAAACTTTCTTAAACAAGAAATACCTGACTTTTATCAATGAGTTGCATTACCAGTGTCCATTGAAACTTTGATGTAGAAGTATCTGTTCTGAAATACTTGTAAATCACAACTGTAATACGAATAGTTATATACTTATTAGATTCTATTTAGCAGCTCAGGAAAGGAGAGAGGACAGATATTTTCAAACCCCCAAGTTCAAATTCAGAATGTTCCCAGTTTTACAGGAAGTGAATATATATTTTTTACTTTACTTACCCTTTTCATTTTCATTAGAGCCTTAAGACAGGTATTTATCTGAAAAGAAATGTACTTACACAATATAGTTCTTGCTAATTGGGATTCAATCTGAGATAAATAAGAGTTCTGAAACTTTACTTTGCAGAAATTCATAACACTTAAGTTCAGCTGAAATATCCAATTCAGAATGTTGCAGCTCTGAAATTGAGTTAGTCACTCCCTCCTCATATATTGCATATTGTCACCATGATTTTGGTTAAAATCCTGATTCTGATTATGGTTGGCGGGTACAATGAGAAAACTCTTTTTGTAAGTTTTCACAGGGATACACTCACCAAAAAGAAGACCAAATTACTGATTCTCACTTCAATAAATATTTTTACATATACTATGAAAAACACCATTTACCCATAGTGCCAAAAACAGATTGTAGGATGCCTTGGTAAAAGTAACATTATTACAGTGCTTAGCACATATAAACTCAGTAAATATTAAGTTTTCATTTTCATTTCTCCTTCTTTATTCCTTTCCCTTCCTCCCCCTCCTCCCCCTCTCCCTCCTCCGTCTCCGCCTCCTCCTCCCTCTTCTCCATTGCCCTTATAAATATATTTCACCAGTAACTTGTAATAAAGTTGTGCTGAGGGCCTCTGATAAACACCAACTCACACATATAAAATCTCCATGACTGTTTTATTTTATTCTAGACACTAATGCTTCTACTTAATTTCCCATATTAGTCGGAAACCTCCCTTTCTCTATCTCCTCTCCTGACCTCTCGCTTCTCTTTGGGATCTACCTTGGTTTTTGTTGTGGATGCTGTCTCATTGTCAGGAAACAAGGAGTCCTCTCTCTGTTTCAGCCTGGGAAAGAAGAAGGGATAAATATTTTCCGAATCTCCCAAGTTGAAATTCAGAAGGAATTTCCCTAGAAACCAAATCTAAATGACAGTAACCAAAATGAGGAAGCAACATTCAGGCCTATAAAATGTTCTCTAAGTTATAACAATAAAGAAGCTGATCAGTGGGAGGATAGGGTGAAACTGTTCTCTGATTCACAGAAACAAACCTTCAAACTCTGGTAGTTTCAGAAAAGAGCTAGAAAGGACTTGAATGAAAGATAGAGAGCATTGCATGGGTGAAAGAGTTGGCACAAGCAAAATTTCAAAGAGGAAATTACTGTGGGGTATGTGTGTGTGTTTGTGTGGTGTGCTGGTCAGTTGGGGTGTGGGTAGGGTACAGCGATGAGAACAGTGTGATTGGAATCAAGTATGCATTAAAATAAAGACACGCCAGATATAAAATTAGGTCGGCAGTGTTAAGACAGATTATAGAAGCTCCTCTTGGAAAATTTTAGGAATATGCACCATGATGGGTTTGACTTCTGGGTCTGGAATTCTGTTAGGCTTTCCAATAGGCCTATACTCCATCTAGAGACTCAGTCCTGACCCAGGCTGTGTTAGTTCATTCTTGCACTGCTACAAAGAAATACCTGAGCCTGGGTAATTTATGAGAAAAGAGGTTTAATTGTCTCATGGTTCTTCAGGCTGTACAGGAAGCATAATGCCGGCATCTATTTCTGGGAAGGCCTCAGGAAGCTCACAATCATGGAAGAAGTTGAAATGGAGGCAGGCAGCTCAGATGGTGAGAGCAGGAGCAAGAGAGTGAAGGGGGAGATGTCTCACATGTTTAAATGAACTGATCTCATGAAGAATCACTCACTATCATGAGAATAGTACCAAGGCAATGGTACTAAACCATTCATGTGAAATCTGCCCCCATAATTCAGCTCCCACCAGGTCCCACACTTTGGGGATTGGGGACCTTCCTTCCTTCCTTCCTTCCTTCCTTCCTTCCTTCCTTCCTTCCTTCCTTCCTCTCTTTCTTTCTTTTTTCCTTTTCTTTTCTTTCTTTCTTTCCCTCCCTCCCTCCCTCCCTCCCTCCCTTCCTTCCTTCCTCCCTTCCTTCTTTCTTCTTCTTTCCTTCCTTCCTTCTGTCTTCCTTCCTTCTTTCCTTCCTTCCTTCCTTCCTCCCTTCCCTCCTTCCTTCCTTCTCTCTCTCAATCTCTCTCTCTTTCTCTCTCTTTCCCTTTCTTCCTTCCTTCTTTTCTCTTTCTCTTTCTTTCTTTCTTTCTTTCTTTCTTTCTTTCTTTCTTTCTTTCTTTCTTTCTTTCTTTCTTCCTTCCTTCCTTCCTTCCTTCTCTCTCTCTCAATATCTCTATTTCTCTCTTTCTCTTTCTTTTCTTCCTTCCTTCTTTCTTCTTTCCTTCTTCCTTCCTTCCTCCCTTCCTCCTTTCCTTCTCTCTCTCTCAATCTCTCTTTCTCTTGCTTTCTCTTTCTTTCTCCTTCCTTCCTTCTCTCTCTCTCTTTCTATCTCTTTCTCTCTCTCTCTTTCTCTCTCTTTCTCTCTCTTTCTCTCTCTCTCTTTCTCTCTTTCTCTCTCTCTCTTTCTCTCTTTCTTTCTCTCTCTCTCTCTTTCTCTCTCTCTCTCTCTCTCTCTTTCTCTATCTCTCTCTCTCTTTCTCTCTTTCTTTCGACAGACTCTTGATCTATTGGCTAGGCCAGACTGCAGTGGCATGATCTTGGCTTGCTGCAACCTCTGCCTCTTGGGTTCCAGTGATTCTCCTGCCTCAGCCTCCCGAGTAGCTGAGATTTTTGTAGTTTTAGTAGAGATGAGGTTTCTACTAAGCCATTGGCTAGGCTGGTCTTGAACTCCTGGCCTCAAGTGATCCACCCGCTTCTGCCTCCCAAAGTGCTGGAATTGTAGATGTGAGCTACCATGCCTGGCAGGGATTATATTTCAACACGAGATTTGGGCAGGGACACATGTCCAGTGAACAGTCATGCTTCTGGGACTAGACTGACTTTGCAGTCAGCTTTCTGTCTTCAGGCTTTTGCCTTGTTCCTTGGTTCCAAGACCTACTCCTTTGCCCTAATTCTAGTGTTTGGGTTTCTACCTTATTTCCCCCTTCCTGGGTTCTTACCCTGTTCAGGATCTAGGTAACAATACATTCCTACGTTCCTCTCATATTGTAATCCTCTCTCCTCCACCTTCTCCTGCCCCTTACTCTGCCTTCTTTGATATTCCCATACATTGGAATCTTTCTGTAAAACCTAGTTCCTTTCACTGGTACCAGAACTCTTTCATACCCATTTCTTTCTGAAAATACTACCTGTAGCCTACCATAGAGAATATCCCCAAAACCACCTTGCTTCTGTGGGTGGATTTGTAACATTTCTGTTGCCTACTTGTTTCTGCTCTGTCTACTGGTTATGAGATTATATTTTATCTTGAGATAAACTTTCATTTTGTTACTCCTTACTTCTGAAGATATCATGCTTTATTCATATTTATTTATCCCCAGGGTTTAGCATATAGAAGGAACCTAGTAAATCTTTGTTGAAAGGATAGAATTCGTTTGCTTTCTAGGCCTTCTATAATTTGGTCCCATTCTCCTCATCCCTCTTTTCTTCTCTTTAACATTTCACTGTATTCCAGTTAAATTTATC